GTTCGAATATCGCAGCTCTTTAAAAAAAAGATTTGTTTGGGAGCTCGCTAGACCAGTTCGGTCGCATTTATAACATTTTTTTATTCACTTTTTTAGATATTTAGGTGAATTATCACGAGATTTACATTCATTACAGTGTAGAGTGTGTAAAAGAAGTGAAGATCGCTACAAAATTCGACGAAGAACTTTGGTCTTAGTTTGGAACCCTTCATCTTTTAATAATAAAAATGTGATCCGCATGTTGACAGTTTATTTTTTTAAATAAAAAGAGGGGTTAAGTTTTAACGTAGTAAAAATGTTACTTACCGTCGGTTTTAGGGGTAGATCATGATTTCGTTATGTACAAGTTCATTCCTTTGTCAACAGTCTGAAACAAAAAAAACGAAGTTAGACAAATAATCGTCAAATTGCACCTTAACATGCATGCAGAACTGATTGTGCTTCAGGGATGAGGAAGTTATGTGTAAATAATAGGAGTATTAAAATATTTTTTTAATTTTTCAGTTCAACAAGAGAAAGCAAGAATCCGCAACTGATTAAGTAACAAGATAACTAGATCTGCACTGCAATTATCTTATTAAAAAATGCCCGTAAAACATAACTAGACATTATTGCATATCCCATAAGATACGATTCTAGTTGATGAAGTGCTAATTACGCTGTGACTACTGCAATGTGGAAATAATGAGAGTGAATACACGTAGAGTACTGTAAAGAAGTAAAGTACACATTAAAAGTTATATCGTTTTGGTACTTCAAAGCGGTACACGCTTATCATTGTAACACCTTTATTATTCTCCAATTTACATTCAACGGTTGGGTGGAAACTAAGTAAACGTGAAGTGTGATTGACTAGTAATGTTGTACTTGTTTGTGAAATTGTGTTTGGTAAATATGTGTGTAAATATTATCAATACGCTATTATTGACATTGCAATTACATGTGTTTGTCACATGGTTTGTTTATTCGTTTAAAAGTGCTTCCGTACCTGTGCTTTTCCAATTTTTATTGAAATATTGATATTTACTTTGTTCAAAAATACTATCGAGATATGTATCTTTAAAATTTTTCTTTTGACGTTTATATTTAACCAAATTTTTCTTTCTTGTTCTACCAGTTTTGTTGTTTTTCTTTGCATATATTGTTTCCTTTTTGCTATTAGGTACTAGTGTGTACTATTCTAGTTTTCTAGTTTTATTGTTTTTATGAATTTGAATGTTAAACAAATCGTGGTAGTAATCATGTTCTATTGGATCGTTATTCTTTAGGTACTTATTAGTCTCGAGCTTTAAGTTCTTCTCAAAACAAACAGCTGACTTGATGCACACCCATTACCAAAGGAGGTTTATTCTATCTGTATACCATTACTGGATCTAGTTGATCCGTTGTTCGTTAAAGATTATAATCTTGACAGGCTTACTCAATTTATATTGATTATGGAAGAGGCTGTTAGGCTTTTTTTAAGAAAAGAGCGGCCAGGGTAAGTTACGATAACCAGGATAACTGGTTTGATACTAAATCACGTAATTTAAGAAATATCTTCAGCTTTATTTGCGATTTATGTGTGAAAATATCAGCAGGTATCGGAATACAAGAAATTGGCAAGTATAATCTGTTTAAAACCAGACAGTTTGGAACAGGTTTTATGGTGGGGCAGAGACTTAAAGGAAAAATAATAGACTTTATGCAGATATCAGATAGGATCTATGGGATAAGGGTAAAAGGACACAACCAAAATCTATTCGTTCTAAATATAGATGCACCGACAGAAGAGAAAGAAAATGATGCAAAGGATCCATTCTATGAAGAAATGGACAGAGTTATCGACAAAATACCAAAAAGAGATATCACAATTATAATGGGAGACGCAAATAAAGAAATAGTAAGAAAACACAACAAGCATGGAGAACCAAACACGAAGAATACGAAGCAGAAATAAAACATAAAAAGTTACTCAAAATCTGAATGCTGCAGCTAAGAAACGAAGAAAATACAAGGAATTATAACAGTCAAAGAAAGATAGTTAAGCAAATATGTCGCACAAAAAAAGGGATTTTTTAGAAAGACAAATAAAAATCATAGAGGAAGCATACCAGAAGAAAGAGATAAGAAACTTTTATAAAGACATACAAAACGTAAACTCAACAAAACACGAATCTACGCAATATATAAAAGATATAGAAGGCAACTTAATAGGCGGCGATGAAGGAAAATTAAAAAGATCCAAACATTATTTCAAACAAATATTAAATAGCGAAATCAGAGTAGGTCAGAGAAAAGAGTAAAAACAAGTACCAAAAAAAAAGAACTTTAAGTAATGAAAGTATAGCAATGCCAACAAAATGAGGAATAACAAAAGCCCAGGGAAAAATGGAATTACAAAACAAAATCTAAAATATGGAGGTGAAAAACTGAAAGACGATATGCAGCTGGTAATAAAGGAAATTTGGGAAACGTAAGAAATTGACTTGAAGGATATATGGAAGAAGCTCTAGGAGAATATCAAGAAGGCTTTAGAAAAGGAAGAGGGACAATCGATCAAATATTCTTACGATACGGTGAACAGGACGACCATTTCCTTGAAAATTCCTTCGATCTATAAAAATGAAAAATGACAATTTTTGGGATATATTTTAAAAATTCGAGCTTGAAACCGAATATTCTGGAACTCTTGATCCAAACTTTCGTTATATTAAAAATTTCGATTTAGTTCGTCGAGATCGATGTCCCAGATTTTTTTTGTGAATTTTGGGCCACTTAATAAAATTTTTCCATGAAATGAAATGTTGGAAATTTCCCTTAGCACCTTCGAAATTCAAGGAAAAATATATATATATTTTTATTTGGACCTCCCCAAGTGTTTTCGTCTTCATTTCTCCGAAAATTCTTACGGTTTTTCCAAATTATCAAAATAAAAATTGGAAATTTTTGGGAGAGATGTTCATTCTCAAAGTGAATTTGAAACAAAATATTTGGAAATTTTGATCCGGGACCATTTTTTGTACATTTTTGGGCAACTTTTCCAAAAACTTCAATTTTTCAATATCTTAAATTTTTAGCATTTTTTTGACCATTTTTGAAATTGCCCCAAGAGACTTTTTTGTAAATAGCGCCTTCGACAATTTCTTTTTGACTCCATTTGCTTGAAAATTTCTACAATTATTTCGTAATATATAAAAAGGAAAAATGATAATTTTAGGGATATTTTAAAAATCCGAATTTAAAACCGATTATTCTGAAAATTTTGATCCGGGATTATAATTCGCTGTATACATATTTAGATTCACTTCGTAGAAATCGATGTTCTAGATTTCTTTATTTTGTTGATTTCGACCTCCACAAGTGTTATGCGGCTTCCGTTCGTCGAAAATTTCTACCATTTTTCCGAATCACAAAGCAATTTTTGGGATATTTTAAAAATTCGAATTTGAAACTGAATATTTGAAAATCTTGGTCTGGGGCCATAAACACGTTATATTTTCGAATTAGCACGTCCTACATTTTTTAAGTGAATTTTTGGCCAAATTTCCAAAAAACTAAATTTTTCAATACTCCACCTTATGAAATTTTGGACCTTTTTTTTCACCTTTCTCGAAATCGACTTAATGGCTTAATTTACTCGAAAATGTATACGATTGTTTCGTAATATATAAAAATGAAAAATGACAATTTTTGGGATATTTCAAAAATTTGAATTTGAAAATGAATATTTGGAAAATCTTGATCCCGAACTGTAATACGCTATATTTTTCGATTCACCCCGTCGAGATCTATGTTCTAGATTTTTGTGAATTTTTGGGCCACTTTGTCAAAATTTCATTTCTTCCATGGAATGAGTCATAAACCGTAAGTACAGGAGCTTGTTACATTATAAAATTTAAACGGAACTTGTTAAAAAAATTTGAGGTGACGTCATCAAAATGTTGGTGGACGACAACCGGTCCGGTATATCTATCGGTGCAGACCGCAGACGTCAGACAGACAGCCGGAAATAGGAGACCTATTGTTTCGTACTCTCGGGGTCATGAAACATCGGAAAACGCGAAAGTATTTGAAAGTAGAAGTAATTTACCTCCCTTGACCTAACTGAGAGCTTTGATTTCTGTTTCAGTTCTAGAAAATGTTTACCTAACTTCACCTGGCCTGACCTTACTGGCCGAACTTAACCTGACTTGACTTGACCTAATCGAAAGACCTATTTCTGTTGATTTCTAGAAAATGTTGACCCATTCTGACCTTATCTGACCTGACTACCGTTGTTCTGACTTCTCTGAGCATAATGGTCGATTTATAAACTCGTCGCTGACGTTGACGTTGTCGTTACATTTTACCATTTTTTATTCAAAAGCGTTGTTGACAGGCATCTTCAGGAAAAAATAAAAAATGACTGTGAATATTACAATGTCCTGATGCGAGTTGTGGCAGTTATTAAATTTTTAAGTGAAAGAGGATTGTTATTTAGAGGACATGATGAAAAATGGGGTTCATCACAAAATGGAAATTTTATGGGACTTATGGAACTTATTGCGGGATTTGATTCTTTTTTGAAACAACATATAGTAAAATGCCAAACCGAACAACTAGTTGCAAGTTACTTGTCTAAAACGGTTTATGAATAGATAATCGACATAATGGCAACTCAAGTAAGAAAAGAAAATATTGAGGATATAAACGATGCAGATACAAAATATTATTCAATTGTTGTGGATTCTACTCCAGATTTGTCACATACGGACCAACTGGCAATTATTTAGAGATACACTTCCCAAGGAAAAGTTTCTGAAAAATTTTTATCATTTATACCAATTGACAGTCACGCAGGAAAAAATTTATTTAATATAGTACATTTATTTTTAGAAGAAAATAGTCTTTCAATGAAAAATTGTCAAGGGCAGTCTTATGACAATGCTGCGAATATGAGTGGAAAATATAATGCACTTCAAGCACGTGTTAAGGAAATTAACAAGTTCGCGGATTATGTACCATGTGCAGCTCACTCTTTAAATTTGGTAGGGGTCGAAGCTGCAAGTGTCGTACCCGATGTAATCAATTACTTTGGGGTTGTACAACAACTGTAGGGGAAACTTACCTATGATGGCATACTTAACTTTGACACCTTAGTATAACCTCATCTATGATATTAGGGATTTTTTTGTGGGTAATTTAAATGAGCAATTATATTGAAATTGATATTAATTCATCAAATTTTCAATATATTCAATATTTATTTTGAAAAAAAATTAGAACCAAAAACCATGAAGTGTGCCATCATAGGCAGTACTCTTCTTATGATGGCACACCCGAATTTTTAGAGTTTTTTTTTTTAAGTAACGTTAATTTTTATTAAGAATTGACGGGTTATTATGAAAGTAATAAAATAGATTTAAGATAAAGGACTACAATTTGTAGCAAAACGAATCAACAAACGAATAAACTAAATAGAAATCATCAAATAACGAAACATTAAGGCAAAACTTAACAAAAAAAGTTATTCACAAAGTTCGCAGATGAATTGCTTGATTCTTTTTTCAACACCCGCGCACTCACTGTGACACCAGGAACCACAACTCTGACATGAAATCCACATTTCTCTTGTTTTCGACCTAGAGAATATATCATTGCAATATAAACATGCAACATCGGCTTCATCGTCATCAATGTCTTCAACCTTTTCATTATCACTAACAAAATCCGTTTCTTCTTCAACCAAAATTTTCCTTTTTGCTTTTCTTAATAACTTTTCCCTCTCCTTTGTTGTTTTTTCTTCTACTTCCTTTTTTAATTCATCAATGTCTGGCGTGGAATTTATATGTCCTTTTTTTACTAGGTTTTCTTAATCTTTTCCTTGAAGCTCCAAGTGAAGCTTGCGACAATGGAGATAGTTCATGAATACTATAATATCTTTGTTTCCTCGTTAAGGGAAATCTTTCTGTCGTGCACTTAGCTTTGGCAAATCCTGATGTTGAAGGTTCAACTTCAGGAGCTTCTGGTATTCCAGAGCCTAATTTAGGCAGCTCAACGTCTACGCCTCCTTGTTGTGGTTGCTTTTGACCATTTTGGCATTGGTCATGTTCGGTTAACGGTCTATCGGTTGTGGAAGAGGGTTGGAACATCCAGTCAGGAAAGATGTTGTCATCGAAGGGATATATTCCTGTTTTGGCAAACGCGTGTACTGCATTTGCGGGTGTAGCAGCCTTCAAATACGCTTTATTGAAAAGACCAGCTACTTGGAAATGTGTGACGATTCTACCAGGATGTTGTTTAAGCCAAGTCTGAATTTCTTGGCCGTAATAAGTTTGGAGAGGTGAAAAAAACCTACATCCAGGGGCTGTAGCCGGTGGGTACAATGTGCGGGAAAACAGAATAGTATCACACCATTATCTTTCGCGTATTGTAGCACTTCTAGGCTTTTGTGGCTGCTGTGGCCGTCCAATAGGAATAAAACCTTGTTTTCATTCGAAGATTTAGTGTAATGTACAAAATGTTCCAACCACTGTACAAAAATCTCTGAACACATCCAACCGTTTAGTTGACAATAGGCTTTGCTGCCCATTGGAGCGTTGTCCATCAGCAAATTTTTCATTCTTTTTCTTGGAAATATAAAGGCAGGTGGCATTCATACAGCATACCACAGTTAAATGTCCTCGTTCAGCACTAGACAGCGCTCCAACGTGCTTTCGTCCTTTAGTAGCTAGAATTTTTTGTGGTCGATTTTGTACTACGCTGAGACCAGATTCGTCAATATTGTAAACATTTTCTGGTGGAAAGTTATATTTTTCCATAACCTCGTTCAGAGATTTAAAATATAAAGCGATATTATTTTTATTGAAGGCTTGTGCCCGAGCAGCTGAGGTGTTTTCAGGCCTTCTGAGAGATATCTGTGGATTTCGTGTTAAAAATCTCTGAATCCATTTATCACCAGCTGTTTCTTTTTCTTTGTTAAAAGGTTTTTTTATATTATTTTTAGATGCAAATTCGAAAATTAACTTCTTTAAATCTTTTAATGTTAAACCGAATAATTTAGCTTCCATATCCTTTATATGTTGAACAAATTGATTTTCCATCTCCCGACTAAATACTGGTCTTTTACCCCCCAAATCTCGTTTGGTACTGTTACAATTGTTTTTAAATCTTCTGCGCAGTGTGGTAGCAGGGACATTGAAATTTTTGGACGCTAATTGCCATCCCATCTTTTTTTCCCGAACATTTCGCAAAGCCTCTGCCATGTTTTTTTCCTCCCATAATTGCCTGTTAGCCTTACTGGACATTGTACTTGAGGCTGCAAGTGACATTTCTCTGTCATAAAAAAAGACTTCTCAGTTTTTATGACAGTCAAAACCTTATACCTATGATGGCATACTATGCCATCAAAGGAAAAGCTTTGGTATGCCATCATAGGGAAATTCGAGGTTTTATTAAAATCAATCTCTGTATTTTTTCATTTACAACATAACCCTAAACTGGCACCTGTATTACAGGTGTCACATGTATAGAAAACATGAATTAAATTGGTGCCCCTGAGTTAAGCATATTAGAACATGATTTCAACTTGATTAATGTGTAAAACTTACTTCGAGAGTCAACAATATTTCATTTATTTTTCTGCCTTTCAAGAAACAGCCCTACACTCACACTGCTTTGTAGACATTCATGTACCAGTAAGGACAGCATCTTGAACAGGTGATTTGACCGCGAAATTCAAATGGTCCAAAAAATTTGAAGGTATGCCATCAAAGGCTGGTTTCCCCTACGTATTTTTTTCGGCTTCACCTCACCGGTGGAATTTGTTAAATCAACATGCAAAACTGCCAAAAAATTGCAGAAAATAGAAATCGAGTATTCCTAGAGACAGTCCAAATTTGAAAAGGATTCAGCAAACCGTTCTCGCGATATTCAACTGCTTTCATACTTTTTAGCGACTCTGTATATATCTATAAAAATTATATTCCATTCAATGATAGTAATTTGTGGTACGCTTTTATAGATTCACATTAATTTCAGAGCAATCACATAATCACAACGGTCAGATATTTGTTATCGAAGCACAGATGTTGCCATCACTGGGCATAAATACGAAGGATAAACGACCAAACAAAGCTCGAGCTGCAATCAGCTGTTGGTTTACACAATCCATAAACTCTCATTTCAAATTTTGCGTTATTTGTCACTTTATGTACAGCACAAGCCGCTGTCGCCTTGTCACCGTCCATGTCGCCCATCTAAAGATTCCAGTACCAGATTGGCCCACGAAAACCCCCATCTTCGTGTAAAGTACCACGCCAGTCCCGCAAGCCCGCAAAAACGTCCATAACCCGTAGAACGTGTGGGTAGAATGTCGATGGTTGAGTTTATTTAGCAGTACGGCAGTTGAAGTCGTCGTTCATGGGATGATGCTGCGTTCTGTGTAATAACAATATCTCTGTACGAGTTATGTGTGAGTTAGGCTGCTCATAGCACCAATACACATGTATTAGACGAGTCGACCATGAATTATACATTAAATGGCACGGGGTTTTTGCCATCTGCGCTCTTAACGAGACCACAATTGATCTACGACAGACCGGCCAAGAAATAATCGACTTTTAGCGGAAAACTCGGATGGGACGGTCGTCGTTAATCGCACGGATTAGCCATTGTCAACGAGGATTGAATCGTCGCTCGCGTAAAGAATATCTCTCGGAGTTTGTAAATTCATGCCTGTATATGTTGGGATAGTGCGGCTGTATATCAGGCAGCGTGGAGATACTTATGGTCTATTATTTTGCCGATGGTTTATGTACTGAAAATAAGCGGCCCACGCGCTCTATACTCGTGTCAGGGAGGCCTCTGGCTTACTTAGAGGTTTACGATTACAGTTTTCTACGGTTTCCTAGCTGGGGGGGATTAAAGTGCAGACGTATGAACTGATTGCAGAAATTTTGCTTGAAGATCGTTAATTGGTGTTTCGTGATTTTGAATGCTTGTGTGTTTCTGCAATAAATGCCAGAAGGGTGTGAATGTATAACAGTGAAGCTAAAGAAGTATTGCAGTACGGTCCCTACGACTAATGGCTACTTTTTTCTCGACGTTTCATGACTGCTAGAGGACGAAAAAGTAGGTTTTCCATTTCCGTCCCTCCAGTTCTAGTAAATCGGACTACATGTAGTTACCACACTTCGATCATCTGAGAAAGATATACTGTTCAATTTTTCTAAAATATGTGTTAAATTATAGTTTTTGACGTTTTGACAACACTGGTCTTAAAAACAAGCAAAATACTGCAACGTTTGTGTGAAACCTCTGCTAGGTTTGTCTGATGAGTTACAAAAAAAGTCTGACAAATAATAACAGCTTCCGCTTTAACAGTATCCCACTATGTACAGTGCAATTATTTACTTTTCTTAAGAAGTTGTTTAGCTCTTTTCACTGCTGCCATAAAATTAGCATACACTTTCGACGTATTATGATAATAATTATTATTACCGTGTTTGCTATTGCATTACCGCTCCATATTAATTTTAATTATGAAATTGCAAGTGAACATATTGTCTGCACTGTGATTAACTGATTATATTCTAATTCTGGCATTCAGTGCGGTTTGGGCTAATGTGCTCTATTATGGATGAGGTATGTAGGTGTATTTTGCAAAAACCATTCATCTTAATTATTTGTATTAAAACGTCAGGTCGAGATAACCTCTTGCGGGTTTTGTATAACAAAGCCAATATGTTTGAGATAATACCGCATTCCATCATCCTGTACAATGGTATGTTATTTGTAATAGTTATATGTATAAAATTATGGTTGTTACGGTATTGGCTGGAGTTGTTAGAAAACAGATAAATTAATATGCGTATTTTTAGAATTGCGTAATTTTATACAATATGTACTGTTATTTGTGAATAAATCGACTAGGTTTTTACCGCCACTGACTAATGGTGGTTATTTAAGTTGTTTACACTAATGGCTAACTCAATTTATAATTCTAGTAATTAATATTAAAATCGACAATCATTAGGAGCTGATACGGGTTAAAAAATTTTTAAATGTAAATGTATTCATCAATTCTGACAGTTTGTGGTAATGTGGGAGAGGTATCGATTACTTAAATGCCCATTAGAGGTCGTTAATTAAGTCGCCAATTCCAAACGAATGAAAACTAGAGATTTACTGTTGTCGTTGGAAAATAAATAACAAAATGAAATTTGAAAGGTGTCTTCTGATGGTAAAAAAGTTAAAGTAGAAATTATTTCGACAAAACTTCATAATTCATTAATTTTTTATACGAATAAACATTTTAACTTGTTATAAATCATATGTAAATGTAACGAATGTTTGTAATAATAATAAGTTTATTTCCTGCAGGCCCGCCCAATTACAAAAAATATATATAGGTAACTGAAATAAAGTCTAACTAAACTAAAAACGAAGAATAAAAAATAAATAAATAAGAACACTTAATTAACTATCTAGTGCGTAATGCAAGTATACAATTAAACAGATGTTACTTGGAATCAAAATAAACACCACACTAAAGTTTAACTAATTGTATAGGAGTATCTTATATAACCACAAGATCCTCCAAGATTCTTTCGCCTTTTAGAAAAATATAACACTAGGAGCTTCCAAGATTCTTATTTCAGTTTCTTCAAAAAAAAAAAAAGCATAAACATATTTGGGAACCCCGAAATTCTTTTGGTTTACGGCTTATAAAAACAGTAACACTAGGAGTTCCCGGAATTATTTCGCCTTTTAGAAAAAAACAATACTAGAAGCCTAAAAACAGAGGAGCCAGAGATTCGTTTGGATTTTTGAAAAAAAAAACCCTAGAGTCCCCAGATTCTTTCTCAAAAACAAAAATTACCGATTCTCGAGCTTTATTAATCTTTCCTTAAAAAAATACACTGCAGGATGCCGAGATTTTTTCGCTTTTTAAGAGAAAATAACACTAGGAGTTGTTAGAAATTTTTTCGGCTTCTCCAAAAAAAACTTAGGGAACTCCTAGATTCCTTCGCCTTTAGAAAAACATCACACTTGGAACAGCCAAGATTCTTTAGTTTCTCAGAAACAAAAAAAAAACCTGGGGATTTCTGGGATTTTTTTGCCTTTTAGAAAAAAATAACACTATGGGCTTCCCGAGATTCTTTCGCCTTATAGAAAAAATAACACCTGGAACCCCCAAGATTCTTTCAGCTTCTCCAACAAAAAAAAACCTAGGGGATTTCAGGGATTTTTTCGTCTTTTAGAAAAAAATAACACTAGGGGACTCCGAGATTCTTTCGCCTTTTAGAAAAAATAACACTATTGGTGGCAGAGATTCTTTCAGTTTCTCAAAAAAAAAAGAAAAGAACCTCAAGGTTTTTCGCCTTGTAGAAAAAAATAATACTAGAAGCCTAAAAACAGAGGAGCCAGAGATTCGTTCGGATTTTTGAAAAAAAAAAAAAAATAACCCCAGATTCTTTCTCAAAAACAAAAACTAGGGGACCCCAAGATTTTTCCGCCTTTTTGAAAAAGATACTACTACCGGCCCTCGAGCTTTTTTAATCTTTTCTTAAAAAAAGACACTGCAGAATGCCGAGATTTTTTCGCATTTTAAGAGAAAATAACACTAGGAGTTCTTAGAAATGTTTTCAGCTTCTCCAAAAAAAACTAAGGAACTCCTAGATTCTTTCGCCTTTAGAAAAACATAACACTTGGAGCGGCCAAGATTCTTCAGTTTTTCAGAAACAAAAAAAAACCTTGGGGATTTCAGGAATTTTTTCGTCTTTTAGAAAAAAAAATAACACTATGGGCTTCCCGAGATCTTTCCACTTCTGCCAAAAAGGACTAGGGGATCCCGAGATTCTTTCGCCTTATAGAAAAAATAACACCTGGAACCGCCAAGATTCTTTCAGCTTCTTCAAAAAAAAACTAGGGGATTTCAGGGATTTTTCCGCCTTTTAAAAAAATTATACTAGGGGACCCCGAGATTCTTTCACTTTATAGAAAAAATACACCTGGAACCCCAAAATCCTTTCAGGTTTTCCAAAAAAAAAACTAGGGGACTCCAAGATACTTGCGCCTTTTAGAAAAAAATATCAGTAGGAGGTTCCGACATCTTTACATCTTCCCCAAATAGGAGACTCCAAGATTCTTTCGGCTTTTATAAAAAAATAACAGTATTGGTCCCCGAGATTCTTTCAGTTTCTAAAAAAAAAAAAAAGAACTGGGAAATTTCGGGGATTTTTTCGCCTTTTAGAAAAACATAACACTAGCAGTCCCCGGGATTACTACTTCGCCTTGTAGAAAA